CACACACACACACACACACACACTTTAGTTCTGGGTCGGTAGAGTTCAAGGCTGTGTGCACTGGGTTTGGCCTCCGGTTTGGCCAAACCAAAACGTCCAGTCTAGGCATGTTATTATTACCTTGGAGTAACTATTAATAGGAGAGGCCGCGAGTCGCGTAACGTGAAGCCGCTGCAGACGACGGTCGGCCATGTTTGTGAGATCAGCTCAGTTCTCTCAGTTGTAAACTTAGCGTCAACCGAATGGCAGTTTGCGTAGCGTTCGGGTCCGGTGGGCCTCTCATTCAAAGGTCCCAGGTTCGAATCCGAGTAGTGACGGAAAAATTGTATTCTCTAAAATTCTACTTTCTCTTTCGTCTGCTTTTGTCTCCACTTTCTGCCCCTACCTCCTCAGGGCTTCGCACTCTTTCTGCAGCCTTTCTACTGCTACTCCTTGGCTCCTTCTTACCTCTGTCTTTCAGCCACACCCCTGATCTTCTGGTAGGAAAGACCTACCCCTAGCCTTCTCGGACAAGGGCCAAAAAATCTCGGAAGCTCGACGGAGGTCGCGTATGCAAGTTGAGCAAATTAAAGGTCCTCTGGTGGTCTAAAATCGATAAGAGTAGGCTTCGGTCGCCACCCGGGCAAAATTCAAAATGTCCTACCAACTTAAAATGTTTAATGTGTCCCTCACACTCATATGACTTATGCAGTTGCGAGTGCCGTAAAACACTTATAAGGCCTACAAAAAATGTTTTTAAAAATATCAGTCTCTAGCAATGGCACTGAACTTGATGACGAAGTGCCTTCTGATTTAACCGTAAATGCATCTCACAGTAAAAACAGAATGAAAAAAGATTGCAGAAAATTCAGTTTGCCATAATGATAACTGCACGTTTGTGTCTAGATCTAGTCTGGCATACTTGTCAATTTACTCTGAGAATACTGTTGCTTACATGGCTGGTTTTGTGTTGTTAAGGTTTACAAAGCATTTGAAAATGTGAAACCTTCATCGGCGCCTTAGTTGACTCCAGTGTGTCAAATGTAACTTCCTTGCTGTTTTTGAAGTCTCGTCGGAGGTTTGACAGTGCCTTCAAAGAATGTC